AGCCAACCAGTCCTGTCATTGCTCAAGCCAGTTTAGGTTAAGATGGGCACTCAGCATGGAACATAGGCTCAAGTACTTCTTGGGTGCTTTTCTTTCCTTTTTAAAATGTTTTATTTATTTATTTTTAATTGATTTTGGAGAGGAAGGGAGAGGGAGAGGGAGATAGAAACATCAATGAGATAGAACATCAATGGGCCATTTCCTGCATGCCCCATACGGAATTGGGCCCACAACCTGGGCATGTGCCCTGACTGGGAATCAAACTCTGACCTCTCAGTCCATGGAACAGTGCTCAATTCACTGAACCACACCAGCTGGGCTCTTGGGTGGTTTTCAACTGGATGCAGCAATGATGCTGAAAACTAAGTAATAAGACCCTAAATGGGCTGGTAGACAGTCTAGGTTCGAATCGTGGCTCTGTATCCATGGATGAGTGATGGATCTTACCTCTCTTTGTCCTCAGGTCCTCTTCTGTACTGACAATACTATTAAGCTTGTTATCAGTCAGTATTGTCTGAGTTGTGCTGCAGAAACAATTCCCCAAATGTCCATATCCTGCACAACCGAGCTATACTCTGTGCTCATGACACAAGCCCAGTAAAGGCTGCCTAGAGGCTCTTCACTCGAGGATGACTAGATGCCCTGCCCAGACATGACCCAAGCCACTACCACTGACAATCCAGTAATTGACTAGAACAAGTCACATGGCCCCATTTTCAAAAAGTCCACAAGTTCCCATAGAGTAACTCCATCTAATGGGCTGTCGGGTCTTCAGGAAGGCGCCAAAGGGGTACACTGGGGCCAAGGTCATTGGAGGACATCTGCAGGAGCATCCCAAATGGTCTCTGGCTCCTCAGGCCTCTGGCCCTCTAATCCCACAGCCTCCCAAATGCAAATCAGAGCCCACTCTCCTTGCTTCCCAAGCAGCTCAGAACAGCCTGCCTAGTCCTCTTCAGGCTTTAGGCCCCCGGGACATGGACCATCCTGGCCTGGAAACCTGCTGCTGTTCTCCTCACACATTGCCCATCCTGCCTCCTCTCCCCCGTTACTCAAGCAGGCCTGGTTCATTCCTGAATCAGTGAATGCTCTTCTCCTGATACCACCATGGCTGGTCCCCCTTGTCCCTCAGGTATCCACGCCACTGCCACTCCCCAGAAGACCCTTCTTTTCTACCTGGCTGCTGTCACATGCAATTATGTTTTCTTCACACATGACCCAGATAGTTACCTTAGTTTTTATTTAGTCTGGCCTACTATTTTATCACTGCTCACAGAGTCCCTGTGCTAACTTCCATCTCATCACCAAGGTTAGCACAATGCTGGGCACAGAGAAGGGGCTCAATTGATGGTTTTAATACCCCCGACGAGCCTTTGGGTCAGCAATCAAAAGGAACCTGCTTCCTTCCTGCACTTGCCAGCTATATAATCACATCTGACCACTGCACGGTGCACACTGATTGCAGCTCAAAGATGATCACCCAATTTCAGGCTGGGGGGCTGGAGCCCTGGGCAGCCTAACAAAGGTAATTGAGGCAAGGCTGATTATACTGGAAAGCTGGAGGGGACCAACCTGTGAGAACAAGCCATGCCACACTCAGACTGTAACATGTTTGCTAAGTTTGTTTCTGATGCAATTTAATGGTGATTCTACTGATTTCTTTTTTGGAATTGAGCCTGGTGCTGAGCATGACACCTGCAGCCCCAGCTGTCAGGACTGGCCCATTTTGGAGCCGGAGGTATTATGATTTATGGCCTGCTGTCAGAGTTCTTGGATAGAGATATTGTGGGAAGGTGAGCCAGAGCACTACCAGGGTTCTCTGGGAACTTCCCTCCTGATTCACTGTGACCTGATTTCAATCTGGCTGTCCCTTACCACTTTGTGGCCTTGGGCAACAACTGTGTGCCCCTCAGCATCCTGTCTACATGTTGGAAATAATAACCCCTACGTCACAAAGTCGCTGTGAGGTCCAAACCAGTTCCTTCACTGGCAGAGCTTGGAGAGTGCCAACCAGGTGAGCAGTCAGCCTCTGTCATTGTCACTGCCTGGGGGTAGCCTAAAGCTAAGGTGCAGAGCAGGTCCCGATGTGCCCTTTGGGGACACGTCACACTTGTGTCATCTAGACACAGGCCTGCTTCATCCAAAACTATCACATCTGACCCCACGCCCATCCTCTGGGGCAGGAATGGCCATCCCTGGTGGGCCGTGGAGGAAAAGGTCCCAGGGCCAGCACAGCCTGCATCCATACCTTCTTCATCAGAAAAGTATGCCATAATTTTCATGGAATGGACTAGTGGGGTTTGTGCTGGAAAGGCCAACATTTCCCAAACTGGGTTTCTCTGCTGCAAGGCTCCAAAGAGAGTGCTCCTGGCTGAGAAAGGCAGGGACATGCAGTTCTAGCCCCTGCTATTCTGGCTGGCGTCCCAGGACTGCGGCCTCTGGTCACCAGAGCTTGTTGGTTACAGGCATCAGGTCACCCCAGGCCCTCTGTATCAGAGCCTGCATTTTAAAAAGGCCCTCAGGGAATCACTACTCTGAATCAGGGGTCCACAACCCTGTTACACATAAGAACCCCCTGGGGAGATTCAAAAAAGCACATTGTCAGGGACCCAGGGACAACCTGCTGCCAAGGTGCTCAGGCCCTGATGTTTTCAGGCTCAGATGGATTCAAAGTACTTCCAAGGCCCAGGACACCTGCAGGTTCTTAGCACATAGGAGCAATGCAGTCCTGACCCAGGCAACACACCTCCGAATCTGCTGAAACACTGGAAGCCAAGGATCAGCACCAATGGTGAGTAGTCCCAGCATGGCTGGAGAGACGCTGTTCCAAACAAGGGATATGCTTGTCATCTTGTGCCACGTGCCAACCACCCTCTCCCAAGACCCCTCTCAGCAAGAAAAGCCCAGAGCCATGAGCTTTAGCAAAAATGTTTAATCTCTCCTTAATGTGTGTATTTACAAGTACTAAATCTGAAGAACAGTGAAATAGGAAATGACCGTGAATTTACACAATCTGTGGGCTGAGCACCCCATCAGCCACACTGCTCCTGGGAGGGGCAATGGCAAGGGGCAGCTCAGGCCGGCCTAGTGATTGTTCTTCTTTTGGGTGGGGGCCCTGTGGCATTAAAGGACAGCTAATTGTGGGCTTCATCTTAAAAATATCTCTCTGTAAATATATCTATTCTAGCTTGTGTAGCACCAACATGAGCCATCACATCCAGAACTAGCAGAAAAACCAAGGCAGAGGTTCTCAGCAAGGTCACACCAGGGAGGGTGGGAATAACATTTGGGGCCCTCCACCTTGGGGTGACCCCAGCTGCTCTGCCCTGGGTCAGGAAATGCAGGGCAAGCTCGAGGTATATTGAGAGGCCCAGCTCCCAGACCAAGGCACGAGCCATCCCCGGGCACTCCTGAGACAAGAGTGCGGAAGGCTGGAAGGAACAGCCCGAGGAAGGACAGGCCATAGCAGCAGTGCCTGGGACAGGACAGGTATCCCTGCACAGCACCCTGTGCTGTGGCCTAGACTCTGGGCCTACAGAGGGGCCTTCACTGCAAAGTGGGACTCCATCCCCAGGCTCCTACCAGGGCCTCATACCCCCCAGGCCAGCGCCAGAGCTTGGGGTCAGAGCCCCTGGCAGGATGTCACTCTGGAGGTGACGGTGAGGTGCTTGGGCCCTAGCGCCTGGGGTGCTACAGAGCTCAGAGGACTATGAGAACTAGTGACAAGAACTGAGCCTAACTCAAGACCAGGCAGAAAAGGGAGGTGTGGGAGGACCTGCTGCACAGAGTAGACAGCAGGCTTAGAATCAAATTGATGAGCTCACATGTAAACAGATATTGCTAAAGTGCTTGCGCCTGACAGGTGTGCACTATTAGGTGGGCCACCCGTCCTCCTCCCTCACCAGGAACAGCCTCTTTAGGTGAGCATGTGGCAGCTCTCTGCAGGCTGGGAGGCCTCAGGAAGAAGGGCTGAGACTCTGAAAAGGGCAGAGCAGGGAAGTGGAAGAATGGGGCTTCAATTAGAAGCCAGCATCCAGGGAAGACTTTGGAGGAAAATTGAGGCTCACATCCAGGTGGCACCAAGGGGAGACAGAAGTACACCCAGGAAGTAGAATCCAGGCCAAGGCAGTGACCACCAAAAAGACTGCTTGATCTCTAGTGATGGGCCTCAGCTCTGGCCCCCATGTCAGCCCAGGGACGAGCCCATGTAGGCTACACTAGTGTCAGGAGGGGATGCCTGAGCTCCAGCTAGTCCTCCACAGCAGTGGGAGGCAGGAGCACTGCTCAATGCCCACAGGGTGGGTGAGGAAGAAACCTGCTACCTCCCCCCATTCCAGGAGCTTCCCAAGTTGAGTTCTCTGCCTTCCCACTAGCTTCCCTACACAAGAAGGCAGCCCCGGCCCTTAACCTGATCTCCAAGGTGTGCAGCCTGGCTCACACAGCCTAGGGTGGGGACCTCAAGATGGTGCTGGCACAGTTAGCTGTCCCTTAAAGTCCATGGGAGTCTTTAGTACCATCAAAAAAGTGAACTTGTCTGCTTTCACAAGTGACTGATTAATTAAAAACATTTTAAAAAGTGTCTAACAACCTCTAGTATTCAACACTTGCAGTTTTAAAAAGATCAAGTCAGACTTAATGCTAGCACAGTCATGCAGGAACTCACAGCCCTCGACCTGGAAAAGGGTGGGGGAGCACTTGCTGAGAGAGGTTCTCTCTTTTTTACATCAAAACTAAAAACAGGACAGACCGTAGGTCAAGGGGCAGAGGCCTGGGGTGTTCCGCTCAGGGAAACTGGCCATTTGCTTCACGACCATTTGGTATTGCTCTCCCACTGCCTTAATTTTCTTATTCTAAATTGTCTGTAAAATTTCTCCTCCTCCAGTCAACTATACAGGACCCCACTGGGGCTGGAGACTGAGGCTAGACACACACACACACACTCATATACATATATATATATATATATATATATATATATATATATATATACACACACACACATACACACACTAATGTACAGGTTTTGTTTTAGTTAAAAATTTGTTCTCTCTTGCTTACTGAGGGCAGGGTGGACAGAGCCAACCATCAGGCCCTCTGGTCACTCACTGTGTCTTGTTCCCAGCCAGGCCATAGAGTATGACCCAAGGGGCCCTGCCACAGTTCTGGCTGCCCAAGCAGAATGCAGAATTTCTTTGTTCTCCCCAAAAAAACAAAAAATAGCCCCCAGATGTCCCATTATGCTTGAGGGGCCCCCACGCTGCTGAGATGCCAGACTGGAAGCCACTAGAAGGTAAACGTGGAGAGCAGGGGAGACAGAGATGGAGGGAAGGAAGAGGATGGTTGGGGCTGCTCCCAGGACCTCCATGCTGGAGAGCTACCCAGAGCAGATACAATGGAGGAATAAATAACGGGAGTGTGTGCTCATGACTGGAGCCCCAGACTCCAGTGGCTCCCAGAGGCACAGCCCTGAGAACACAATGGGAGTCACAAGTCCTTCTGGAAGTCTCTTGGGAGCTGAGAGCACTGTTTCCTGCAGCCCCTCCACAGGAGGGAGCTGGGGCCTCTCTCTGGGCAAGGTGCTCCTGCCTCCACCGCAGAGAGCACGCGGTGAATCGGAGGATGGTGGCGTGTGCAGCAGGGAGCATGAGGGTGGCAGGCGGGTGGCAACAGCCCAGACTGAGTACAGCTTACCTTGGCCAGGCTTGGCATTTAGCCTCCCCAGGCCTCAACCCTCAGACTCTGCCAGGGAAACCGGGAAGGCTGACCCCTTCCCATTGTCCTGGCCCTTCTGGCCTCATGCCTGGCCTCGGAGACAACCAGACTGGCATCCCTCCTCCCAGAGGGCTCAGACTTACTCCTCAAGTCTTCAGCAGTCAGCTGAGTCTCCCAAGAAGGCCTCCAGCCAGACCTAGGATCCCACTGCCTTGTGGCCAGCAGCTCTGGGCACAGAGGGTGCTGTGGGCACTGTCTCACTCATACTAGTAAGAACCAGGACCCTCCCACCTCCCCACCTCCGCCAGGGGGAAGAGAGGGCCAGGAGGATGTTAGCCTGCATGCCAGTCCCGAGCACATAAGCACTCGGCACACATCAGGGAAGGCTGCCTCCAGGGACCTCCCAGCTTTGGCTGTTGGTTGGAGGCCACCCCTGCAGTCCCTCTCACTAATCTCCCATTGGGCAGTGGTGGCTGGGTGGCTCAGCTGCTCAGGGCCATTGTGTCCACCACCTGCTCCAGCTTGCTCCGGAGCCGTTGCCGGCGAGCCTGTTCATCCTTCTCCAGTGCCATCAGGATCTGGGGAGGCAGACAGAAATGTTAGTGAGCCTGACAGGGCTGCCGCTCACATGGGACCACTACATGGAAGCTTGGAGGATTATACACAATAAAGTGACAGCTGTGACTGGTGGGGGCTCTGGAGTAGACACCTAATTCCATCCCTTTCATTCCGAACTGGGGGAACTGGGTTTTGAACCTAGACCACCGCCCCCTCCTCCCCTGCCACACAAGGACACTGGTGTGAAGAGTGAGTCTCCCTTCCCCCTGGTCACTATTCCTACTCCCAAACCACAAAACTCCAGCCCCAAGCAGGGCTCTCTGCTCACAGCCAGCCCTTCATGTACCCTTGGTGCAGTTCCCCATCTGTAAATGGGAACTGGGCCTGGCCACCTGGGACACAGATGGGTCGTCACCATCTGGATGCTCTCTCTGCACTGCAACAGCCCAGGAAGCAGGAGCACCTTAAGTTCACATTCCTGGTCCCTGATGGCACATCAGTCTACCAGTATGTGGTCATGTCACCATCCTCCTCTATCCCACCACCCCAGTTTCTCTGTACCCCTTTATAGGGGATTTCCTCAGAGAACCTCTAGCTTCTCTCCGCTTTCCCTCATGAGCCCAAGGATGGCAGGCTTTACTCTCCAACCCCTAGCTAGTTGTCAGGTCACTCAGGATCCGCTGCTTATCCTTCTTGGACCTAGGACACCTGTTCAACTTCCAGATACCCAGTCCCACCTCTGAGTCTCAGCCCACCCCTTCTGGCTCTGGACTGACATCCAGGGCTATCTCCTCTAGTCTCAGCTGCTGACCCCACAGCCTGACCCTGCAGGCGGAGTCTCTCCTGAGTCCTAGCTCCTTTCCCCTCAAACTTAAATAAAAGTCCAAGGTGGATTCCTTGGACTTTCCCACCTCTTGTAGCTCATTCCACCTTAAGTCTGGAGTCATGCCCCATAGCCAGTCACACCCCATAGTAAATCCTGGTCCCTCCCACCCATACCCAGCCCTTACGTGGTCCCTGCCTCCAACTCACCCTGGGCACCCAAAGTCAGATCACAGGTCTGTCTCTAGAGATGGCCTGTCTCACACAGGGGAAAGCCCAAGTTCCCCAAAGCCTGCACACCCAGTGACAGGCCCCTTGCCTTAGCCTGGCCTCTCCCACCTCTCCCTCCGCCCCTCCTCTCAGCACAGCTCTGATTCAGGCTCCTGGCTTCCATAGTCCTGCAGCCAGAACCAATCTGGTCTCAGGGCCTTGGCAGTGGCCATGCCCATCCTGCCTCTCTGGCACTGTGTGCCCCATCCAATTCAGCCCATGAATCAGTCCTCCTTCCACAGATATCACAGGGAGCCCCAGCTCTGTGTAGCAGATGGCAAGGAGACCTGCTGCATCCTTACTCCAGGGCAGCAAAAAAGATACTAAAGGAGGAAGGCTCTAGAGAACACTCACCAACTCATTTTCTCCACTTCAGGAAGCCACTGCAATCTGCTCCCCTGCTCCCCCACACCCCCAAATTGTCCAGAAGCATGCTCCTTGACCTGCTGCAGCCCAGGCTGACCCTGCTAGACCTGGTGGGCAATTACAACAAGCATTGTATCCCTGCCTCAGCAAGTGAAGTGGCCAGGGGGCAAGCAAATCAGAGAAGGCAGGTGCCTGGCCGGCCCAGAGGCCAGGGGAGGAGGAGGAGGGACTGGATGCAGTTGGTCCTAAGGAGGGAGCCCTGCTTGGCTAGGCCTGGTGAAGGGCTGAGCAAGGTAGTGTGAACCAGACTTGGAGCAAGGCTGGTGTTTGTACTCACCTCATCTTTGTACTTGGTGATATAGGAGTAGATCTCATGCAAGGCGCTCATGCTGTTGAACTGGCTCAGGTGCAGCCGTGACTGCTCGGCCAAGTACGCACTCATGTCCTGGTCACTGATGGCAGGCATCTTGGCAATATCAGCATAGTACCTACAGGCAGATGGCAGGCTGGCACATGAGCTGGGTCCCAGCCCTCGGCCCGCAGCCCACCCCCTGCACACTCCCCTCACCTCTCCACCCAGCTCTTATAGTTGGGGATGTCCTTGGCATAGAGCAGTTTGTTGGAAGGCGAGTCCTTGCCCAGCTTGTGCTCAGATGTGGAGCAGGAGTCCATAAAAGTCTGGGCCACCACTGACAGGCAGGCATCTGTGATGCTGCTCTTGTGGATGTCAAACACAAACTGTGGGTTCTTGATCACGTTCACCCAGAAGCGCAGGGGCAGGCTGTGTAAGCAGGTCAGATGCATGGTCAGACAGGGCCTAGGCACCCCTTCCAGATGGCATGGGAAGGGGTCAGCTGGCAGCCTCCTAGCTTGCCTGGGTTTGAATTTTAGTGACCATGGATTTCCACGCAGATGGGGAAAGGACTCTTAGGAAGTGAGTACTATCTTCTGCCACTCACACTCCTGAAGGACAGTCCCTCCACTTGGTCACATGCTTACACATGCACTCACACACGATCACAACCCTGCTTCTGCTCAGGAAGGACTCCAGGGGACACATTTCCACAGACATTTTACCTCTGTGCCCAAAATGCCACCCTAAAACAGCCATCAACTGTGCTACCTAATAGCCACAAGTCACTTGAGGCTGTTTAAATGGAAATAAAGTTAAAAATTCAGATTCTCAGTTGCTGTAGTCACTTGTCAAATGCTCAGCAGCCACACAGGACAGAAAGCCACCACAGATCTAGAACATTCTGTCATTGTAGGGATTTTCTTGGATGGTACTGACCTAGACGATGCTGCCTGCCGTGGTCCTCATGGAACCCCTTCAAGGCCCATGGGCAGCACAACAGAGTGGGAGGCCCAGGGCTGCCTCCAAGTTTGGGAAGTGGCAGCATGCAGAGGCCACAGTGCTGGGAGGGTGAGACTACCAGGGTATCAGCAAGAAAGAGGCCAGAGGCACAGGAGCTTCTCTGAGGATGGGCCAAGTGCTGCAGGGGCATGTGGTCAGGCTCAGGGAGACAAAAGCCAAACTGGGTAGTGGGTGCTGGCTACCTGAGGGGGTGAAAGCCCCTAACCGTTTGCTGTCACTACCACTCATCCACATCACTGCCAATGGCTAGCACGGGCCTGGCCCACCAAGCTCATTTTTCACACAAAGCCCACACTCGCACCCTTGCACAAAGCCATGTGTGCACGCATGTAGGTGAACGCACATGCATACACCTAGCTCCCACACCAAAGGGGGTTCTCCAAGTTGAAGCAGAGGTCAAGCCTAGTCCTAGAGCATGGGAGGCAATGGATGCCACCCAGATGGGTGAGTTGGGAGGGCCCATATAAAGAGGGGCTAAAAATACCAGGCCAGCCTCTCCCCTCACCTATGAGAACAGGGCTTCTAGAGGACAGGCCTCCTGCAGCTGCTCAGCCCCACCTCCCCTGACTATGCCCCACTGCCCCACCTGGCCCAACTGCCAAATCCCATCCTAAGGTACCAGTTGCTCTTCCAGGTGTGGCGCACATCTGAGTCATGTATCTGGTGCTGGTCAGCCTGCTCGTCTAAGAAGTCGAACATATACTTGATGGCCAGTGGCAGGGCCGAGCCCCGGTGTGCTGTGCTAAAGATGGTCTCAAACAGGTCATCCACAAACTTCTGCAGTGTGCCCTGTAGATAGGTGCAAGCAAAGAGCTCCAGGGAACCACCAGCAGCCCATCTCCTTGGTGACCTGGGCAGTTAGCTATGCTGCACCCATGCCCCTACCTCCTGCCCATCCAGGTCTACCTTGGTGGCCAGCAACCGCGTCAGGTAGATCTCCGAGACCATCTTGCTGCCACGGTCACCCTCCCGCTGGTCCAGGTGGTCATGATTCTTCACCAGATGCCAAAGCTTGGTGCCGCTTTCCAGGTCAGGTGTGATCATGGGTGTGCGTGAACGCAGGCTGTCCGGGCTGCTAGCTGTGCGTAGCATGCTCTCTGCAGGCATCACACAGTCAGCTGGCAGGCCCACTGTATCCAGCACCCACAACCTGCCCTGCCCTTGACTAGGAAGCCTCGGGCTAGAAGCTCCTCTGTCTGAGCCTCAGTTTCCACATCTGAAAACTGGGGTCCTCAGCCCCACCTGCTTGGGTTGTCAGGGACAGAAGGTGACATGCTGTGTATGGGTGTGTGCTGCAGGGGGAAAGGTAAAGTCTCAGAACTGAGAGAAAGGCTAAGTGTCCAAGTGACGGGCCATGATGTGGCCCCTTTCAACCCTTGTGTGCGCCTGCTGTAGGGGGCCCAGGAGAGGCATCCTATTCAGGCCAGTGAGCCCACTCTCCCCACCTGACCCCTCACCATATCTGCTGAGGGACTTGGTGAAGGTGGAAGAGTTGGAGATGTTGTAGGCAGACGTCTGCTTGGGCACCAACGCCACTGAGGACCCATCCGTCACCTGTGGGCAGAGGGTTGGGAGATTCATGCCCACCATTGGGAGCTGTGGTGATACCTCCAGCCCTTCCTGGTACTGTGCCTGGAGGCTAATCACCTCACTCTGAGCCTCAGATTCTGCTCTGGTGAACTCCAGGGCTGTTGGAACAACCAGATGGGCCCAGTGTTGGGTCTGGGAAGGTAAAACATGTGACCCCAGTTTCCCTTTCTGCCCAACATTTGTCGCCCACCCATAGCCAAGGGCCTGGACACCAGCTTCCACACTACCCTGGAACCCTGAGAAAAGGCTGAGCCACGGCCAGAGGGTGGGAGACACAGGATCACCTGATAGTGAGCCAGAGTATTCAGTCTCTTCCAGTCGTTGTCAATCTTGGTGGTGACATCCTCATCCTGCAGGATGATTCTCGCCATGCGGCCCTGGCGCCACTCTGAAGGAGAGGGAAACAGTGAGGGGTGGGGCCACAGGCAGGTGCCAGGTTTCCCCCTTTCCTTGGTCTGGCCTCTCAGCCTGAAGAGAAGAGCATGGGTGTCCTAGAGGCACTCAGTGCAGGGCCTGAACAGCAGAATAACAAAGGGACAAGGTTCCTCCCTGTCTCCCTCCCAGCAGCTCCCATCCTGGCTCAGAGCAGAAAGCATGTACCCATGCAGTTAAGCCCCATGCCCTGCAGCTGTCTCACCTTGGGCAGACCAAAACCCCACCCCTAACACCCTGCCTTTGAGCTCTAGGAAGCTCTTCCAACTTCTCAGAGACATTTAAGGCCTCCAAAGCGAAGCCCCCACCTCTCCAGCCACATCTACCATGGGAATCTCTGGACCCACACCTGCCCCGACCCTCTGGCCCCTTGTAGGTACCTCTACATTCCAGCTCATGAGCTACAGTGCCCCTCCCACCCCCTGAGCGCCAATGGCCCAACCTCCTCCAAGAGTAAGTAGGAACTCCAATCCCTAACTCTTCCCTGGACAGGGTGGCCCTCTTAAGTGTGCTCCCTGATTCCATCCTCTACCCCACCTGCCTCTACCCTGGCTTGCCCACATCCATAGCCCAGCTGGGATTACATCCCTTCCCTCCAGCCCTCTTCAACACCTCCTCCCCTCCATAGCCTCCAGCACCCTCCAGCAGCAGCCAGTGCCTGGCCTGGAAGGAGAGGCCTTGCTTGGACTTCCCTAGCTAAGCCCATTACCCGTGGCCCCCTAGACACACCCTTTGGCACTGCCCTTCTCTTTGGGCTGCACACCTTGGCAGGCCACTGCCTAGAACCTCAGCTTGGCCACACTGCCAATTAGCATGAAAGCCCCTCCCTCACTCACCCAGGTCCATGTCCCCAGCCTTGGGCCGTTGGGAGTAGGGTACACCCTTGTACACAGCATCCAGCAACTTCTCCTTGACCTGTGTCACTGTGTCACAGTTTAGTCCCTTCACTGGCACCTCAGGTGCGTTTTCATTCTCCGGATTCACACAATTCAGGGTCTGGGGGCAAGGAGGGGTGCAGCATCAGCACCCACCTCTGAGGGAGCAGGCCTGTGAGAGAATATGGGTCGGGGGCAGGGCAGGGCAGGACGCTGGGCCTGTACTCACCAACATCTTGTAGTCAATCTGCTGCCGGATAAGCTTGTCTTCACTCAGGGAGTAGCGTGCCTCACCCGTGATAGCATCGATGGGGCCCTTCTCCATCTGCTGTTTGATGGCGCAGTACAACATAAACAGTGGCTCCCCTGCACACTCCTGTGGCAGCAGGCGGGCAGGCGTCAGGCTGCAGCCAGGATCCATGGGATTTCACCCTGCCCACTTGTCCCCACCCCTCCAGTGCCTCTGCACCATTCCCACCAGGAGAAATTAGCAATACTCCAAAAGAAGGCAAGTAGAACCCTGGTTCTAGAACCTAACAAAGACTGTGCAAGAGAATAAGTTAGAAAACAGACCCATTGCCCCTATAAGTGTTGATGTGAAAATCCCAACGTAACCTTAGAGAGTAGTGGCAGGACTGTATCAGAGAAGAACACGATGTGACCAAGCGGGCTTTATGCCAAAAAAAGACTAAAGCTCTAAAGGTCTCAGTGGGTCCACTGCCCCAGTTCCCAGCCAACACCCTAGCACCCCCTCGTTGGAGCCTGACTGAGGTGCCAACACTGCACTCTGGGCCCCCACGGACCATAGCATGGGCAGACCCTGTGCCGCAGAACACGAGGCATGACCTTGATTTGTTGGTTGTCAGGGGCCCACCTGGCTGGAACACCACCACTGCAGGCAGAGGGCTGCCCCTGTTACTCAAGAGGTGCAGAAACACCGACCCAGGGCACTTCACCAGCACTGAGGGGCCCAGGAGTCCAGAGCCAAGGCCTTGTAGAACAGCCTCAGGCACTATGTGAAGTCTGCTCTGCTCTTACCCCCTACCATCGCCCTCCAGCTCCCCACACTGCAGCCATGAAAGCCTGCTCTTCCAACTACCCAGTGTCTCACGTCAGGACCTTGGCACCTGCTGTCCCTATAGCCAGAAATATCTCCCTCAGGTTTTTACTGGCCCTTCTGGACTCCATCCAATTTGCCTTCTCAGAAAGACTCTCCCTGACCACCAGGCTGGCCCTCATCACCATCAGGACCCTGCTACAATCACCAGCTTCTATTGCTCTCTTTGATGCCTTCCTCCAGCTAGAATGGAAGCTGCCTGAGGGCCAGGGCACAACTGGCTCACCCACATTATATTCTAACACCCAGCATGAAACCTGCACATGCATGGGGCCCCAGACACTGCTGGACAACAAATGCTATGAGTGAAATGAGTTATCAAAGGAAGCTCATGTCCTTATAGCAAAGTGAAGAAAGCCAACATCAGAGCTTGCCAGTCCTGTCTGTCCCAGGCATTACACCTTGAGGGGCCTGACTCGCTGTGTCCTCTGCACAGGTGAGGCCCTACTTAAGTGTGGGCATAGGCTTCTTTATCACCTTAGCCACCTGATGGAGTTCAGAAGTGTGCCTCACGAAGGCAGCATACTGGCCTCTCCCAACCCCTCCACTGCACAAACAGCAGCTCTGTCCCATAACCAGATGCTCTGGCCATCTTGTTAGAATCTCAGTAATTAAAGAAATAGCTCAAGACTCTTCCACAACATGCCCATCTCTGAAATTATGTTTCATTTACAAACATGACTTCATTAAATCAGCTGGGAAGAAAGCAAGAGTGGATGCAGATTAGTATGCAGTGCCATTTATAGCTGCCTCTCTTCCTGCAAACACAATCTGAACAGAATGGCCGGGGGACAAGACCAAACACCTGTCCAAATGCTCCCCTACTTGCACCTCGAAGAAGAGAAAGGAGTATCTCAAAAAATCAGAAGGAAGAGGTTATTGGCCCAGGATTACAGAGTAAATAAGGAGAAGCCAGAATTCTAACCCAGACCCATCTACCTCTAAAGTACCTAGTCCTTAAATGCCAAGTGTCCTCAGAAAAGGTATACACTGAATGGGCTATCTATTTCTGGCCCAGCTGGCAGGCCCTCCAGTGCTGGCTCCAACCATTTATGCAAGACCTGCCCAGATGGGGCAAAATAGAAATGAAAGAGCTAAAGGCCAGGAGACAGGAGAAAGGCCCAGAACCCAAGGACCTTATCCAGTCCCACCCTCCCTGGGCCACAGTTTCCTGTACAGTGAGGGGAAAAAAGGATGCCCTCAAGTGCCTCCCAGCCCCAGATCTGAACATACAGAAACTACTGATGAATTTTTCAAGTAAAAAAGATAATACAAATATAGTCCATTCTATAAATGATGTTAGGACAAATGTTTCTCCACTTTGGGGTGTGGAGTCAAGTACAAACCCTACCTCACACTGCACACAAATAAAAACCATTTCTATGCACAACACAGGAGCGATAAAAAAAGGAAAACGTTGTATTAAAAAAAAATGTACAAACTACTGGAAGAAATAACCCTACAAATAAAAATAAAAACAAAAACAAGTAAAGGATAAAAAAAGACATTCAAAGAAAAAATAAAAGTGGCCAAACAAAAAGAAACAGCAACTAAAGCAACAAGCTGGCAAATATAAAAACAAGCTGATAAAGCAGGTATTATCCAAGGCCTGGGAAAGATTCTCAACCACTGAATTGGTGCAACTTTTTGCAGAATAGCTTGGCAGCATATATTCCAATTAAAAGTGAATATGCCTGATCACCTACAAATCGCTGTTCTGGATATCCACTTTAGTGTTAACACAGCAAGCAAAGAACACTGGCTCAGCATGCTGGCTGTGGTGCCAGTCATGGAGAGAAAAAATTCAAGCTCTCCAAACACCTCCACCAGTGCAACAGTTAGTAAAATGTGCAACACCCACACTATGGAACATTATGCGACTGTTAACAAGAATGAGATAACCAGATGACATTCCAAAAATGGCAGTGGAGTGAATGGAAGCTACACAGACCATCTCACAGGACCAAAATGGAATTACAATGAAAATATAGACAAATCGTCTGGAAAAAGCAACAGAAAAGCAGCTTGGAGGACCACACAACCAGGGACACGGACTTAATCCTGGTAGGCTTGCGGACACGTGAGTGGGGGGCTGGGATCCCACTGTCAGCAGTGGCCTTAGCTGCGAGCAGCGCCCTTGGGTTAAACTCCCAAGCAGCTCCACAGCGCAGAGCCAGGACAGAGGCTAAAATAGCCACAGCCACTCACCTTAGACTCCAGCAGAGGGAGGGCAGACTGGACTGAAACTGGGTGGGGACCCTTAGGATTTAGAGGGCGCTTAGAGTTTTTGCTGAGTTGCGGTCACACAGGATGGTGGTCATCTTACTCCTTCACAGGGCTCTGGAGAGGTGGCAGCCTCTCCCTCAGAGATTCAACCCCACCGGGTGGCCATTGAAATGCAAACTGAAGCCCATTAAAAACCAGCATCTGCCCCACCCTCGGGAAATCCCCTTATGCTGAGCACCTGAGGGAGTTTTTCATTCAACTGAGAAGCCAAGGCTCTTCAGGTAACCATTACTGCTAGACTCCAGACAAAAAGCTAGAGGATAACTACCATTCCCTGGGCTAGCAATTCTAACCAGGAAAGTAAGACTTGACAGTGGTGTTTAACGAGGGTCCTCCCTGGCTCATCCAAACCCAGAAGAGGGAGCCACATACAGAACACCAACACCCACAGAAAAATTTGGCAGGCTCCAAAGCCCACTGTGATAGCCAAAATGGTGAAACACAGAAACAAAAGCCAAATGAAAGAACAAGAGACTTCTACCAAAGACGAGGTAAATGAGGTGCAGTTAAGCAAGTTAACAGAGCAAGAATTCAGAGCCATGTTCTTGAGGAAGCCCAACAGCATGTGTAAGGACATGAGCACCATGAGTAAAGACATAGAAATGTTGAAAATCAACCAGTTGGAAATTAAAAACCACCAAGAAGAAATGAAAAATGAGATATCAGAAATAAAAAACACATTTGAAAGTCTAAATAGCAGAATAGAGGAAGCTGAGGACCAATCAGTGAATTAGAAGATAGGGTAAAAAAAAAAAATCAACCAATCAGAAAACCAAAAGAAAAAAAACAATTACAAAACAGGAAGACAGCTTAAGAGAACTGTGGGACAACTGGAAACATAATAACATTCACATCATAGAAGTCCCCAAAGAAGAAAATAAGCAAGCGTTAGAGAATATATTTAAAGAAATAGTGACAGAAAACTTCCCTAATTTGGTGAAGAAAGAAGGCATCAAGTTCAAGAAGCAACAGAGAGCCCCAAGTAAGAAGAACCCAAAATGGTCCACACCAAACACACTGTAATCAAAACACCAAAAATTAAAGACAAAGAGAGAATCTTAAAAGCAGCAAGAGATAAGCAATAGATTACCTACAATGTAACTCCCATAAGGCTCTCAGCTGACTTCTCAACAGAAACACTACAGGCCAGAAGGGAATGGCATGAGGTAATCAAGGTCATGAAAAACAAGGATCTGAATCCAAGATTATTCTACCCAGCAAGGCTATCATTCAAAATAGAAGGTAAAATAAAAAGCTTCCCAGACAAAAAGGCTAAGGGAATACATTAGCACCAAACCAGCACTGCAAGATGTTAAAAGGACTGCTGTAATTAGCAGGAGAAACAGGAAAAAAAATAAACCACACCAAACAAAAATGGCAATAAATAAGTACATATCAATAATCACCTTAAAGGTAAATGGATTGAATGCTCCCATAAAAAGACACAGAGTAACTGATTGGATAAGAAAGCATGACTTGTCTATACGTTGATTACAAGAGAACCACCTCAGAACAAAAGACTCATAGGTTGAAAGTGAAGGGATGGAAAAAAATCTTCCAAGCAAACGGAAAGGAAAAAGAAGCTGGGGTAGCAATACTTATATCTGATCAAATAGATTTCAAAATGAAAGCCATAACTAGAGACAAAGAAAGCCACTACATAATATTGAAAGTTTCTATCCAACAGGAAGATATAACCTTGATAAACATATATGCACCCAATATAGGAGCACCAAAATATATTAAAAATCTTCTGGAGGACTTCCAAGGAGAAATCAACAGCAACACAATCATAGCAGGGGACTTCAACACCCGGCGGACATCACTGGATAGATCCTCAAGAAAAAATTAGCAAGGAAACAGAAACTCTAAATGAAGCACTAGACCAGATGGATTTAATAGATATCTACAAAGAATTACACCCCAAAACTACTGAATTCACATTCTTCTCAAGTGCACATGGGACATTCTCA